GACCCAGACTTTAGTAAAAGTGCAATTGCTCTATCAAAAAAAGTGACTTGAGTAGAAGTTCAAGTGCTCCTTAAGCACCATACTTAAGTGGAAGTACTAAAGTATTCAACATTTTTTAAACTTGAGTATTGCAAGTAGTTTATTTAAAAGTTTACTACTCAAGTACTGAAAGTAAAAGTACAAGTATTGTGTAATGTAGTTATTAAAGAAAGCAGTCAAAAGACATCATATTGTTTTGTTTATTTTAAATATCTTTTTTGGGGGCACGTGATTAAGCAGATCTAAAAGAAACATGGCTTACGATACTGTTATTCTCTCGCGCTTGAACCACAGATCTGACAGATTAACAGCTTTAACACACACCTTTCAAAGTTGTGTGTCACAAAAGAACTCCGTAATCCACTCAAAACACTATTGAAACCCATTTTCAGATCACAAATTACCGGTTGTAAACACTGTAAACAGAAGTTCTAAACATTCTACCGGAAGACGCTGATCGCTATGGCACCCTCCATCCAGCAGCCAAGAAAAAGGTCTATAATTGTAACGAGTAGGGGTGTGAGTCTACACTGGTCTCACGGTTTGGTTCGGTTACGTTTATCATGCCATGAATTTGATTCAATTCGATACCGCGGTGCATTGACGATGCTTTCCATACATAATTAGATTTTTACTTCACAAGACAAGAATTTTATTAAAATCTATAAATATATTATTGTTATACAATTTTGTTCTTTAATACAGCAGTAAGACATACGAACTGTACCCTTAATTTGACCTGCTCAAAGAAAATGGCGGGAAGAACAGCTTCGGTTACAGTCTGTATGCGCATAATACACGGTTATCACAGGTAATCCGTAATAGACACAGTGGAGAAAACTCGCACCTCAGGCACGCTCGGGTCAGGATTCACAAGTATCGCTTTAGGAGCCAAGAGGAACGGAAAAGTTACCTCACAAACACGCCAGCGCGTCAAATGTCCAAAGTGAGAGAGAGAGAGGGGTAAAGACGGAGTTTTACAGCATTTCTCTGTAGTAGTGAACGAGCGGCTCATGTGCTGTGCCGCCTTCATTGTAGTAAGAGCGTTATTTACTCGCCTCCTTCGCCATAGTATTCAACAGCGATATTGCGCATAGAAGATAAATGACAACAGTGCGTAATAACCGGTTATGATCTACTACTGAACTGATATCAATAACTTTGACACCCCTAGTAAAGAGTAACGATGCAGAACATAAAAAAAAACTATCAGAGTAAAAGTAATAAACCCATCAAAAATATGTACTGAAGTAAAAGTGGAAGTAGGAGAAGAAAACAATCCTCCATTAGAGTAGATACACAGGGGTGTCCAAACTTTTTGGGCCGAGGGCCAGATGCAAAAAAAAAAAAACGTCCCAGGCCAAATTTGACATACATCACACAAACACGCATATATATATATATATATATATATATATATATATATATATATATATATATATATATATATATATATATATATATATATATATATATATATATATATATATATAAATATATATATATATATATATAAATATATATATATATATATATATAAATATATATATATATATATATATATAGTCAGAATTGTTAGCCCCCTAAATTATTAGCCACCCTGTTTATTTTTTCCCAAATTTCTGTTTAACGGAGATATTTTTTTCCCACACATTTCTAAACATATTAGTTTTAGTAATTCATTTCTAATAACTGATTTATTTTATCTTTGCCATGATGACAGTAAATAATATTCGACTAGATATTTTTCAAGACACTTTTATACAGCTTAAAGTGACATTTAAAGACTTAACTAGCTTAATTAGGTTAAATAGTCAAGTTAAGGTAATTAGGCAAGTTATTTTATAACAATGGTTTGTTCTGAAGACTTAAGGGCTAATAATTTCGACCTTAAAATGGTTAATAAAAAATTAAAAACTGCTTTTATTCTAGCCGAAATAAAACAAATAAATCTTTCTCCAGAAGAAAAAATATTATCAGACATACTGTGAAAATGTCCTTGCTCTGTTAAACATCATTTGGGAAATATTTAAAAAAGAAGAAATAAATCAAAGAGGGGCTAAGAATTCAGACTTCAACTGTGTGGATGGATGGATGGATGGATGGATGGATGGATGGATGGATGGATGGATGGATGGATGGATGGATGGATGGATGGATGGATGGATGGATGGATGGATGGATGGATGGATGGATGGATGGATGGATAGATGGATAGATGGATAGATAGATAGATAGATAGATAGATAGATAGATAGATAGATAGATAGATAGATAGATAAATAGATAGATGGATAGATGGATAGATGGGTAGATAGATAGATAGATAGATAGACAGACAGACAGACAGACAGACAGACATACAGACAGACAGACAGACAGACAGACAGACAGACAGACAGACAGACAGACAGACAGACAGACAGACAGACAGACAGACAGATAGATAGATAGATAGATAGATAGATAGATAGATAGATAGATAGATAGATAGATAGATAGATAGATAGATAGATAATAACAAGAACTGCTGCTTAATTGAATGCATGTAATAGCGACACCAGGTGGTTATTTATTGAATTATGTTCATTTTTGTATAGCAGGCCAGATTCTATTGATATTTTAAAAACAGCCTCGCGGGCCGCCACAAAACTGATTGCGGGCCGCATATGGCCCGCGGGCCGTAGTTTGGACACCCCTGAGATACAGCCTTTCAGTGCTTAAGTACAGTAGTGAAGTAGTTCTACTTCGTTACTTTACATCTCCGGCTAAATGTAATCGAACGATCTGTTTTCACTGTCATTCACACGAAGCAAAAATGTGGCATTGTGGAACCATCTTTTCTTTTTTTTCTTTATCTCATGATTAATTTGACAGTTCCTCTTTGTTACATGTCACATGGCCTGTGCATCATGAACTCACAATGTCATATCGGTCCAGTGATGTAGCTAATGTTGATAAATCAAATTAGAGCATGCAATCATCTATTCTACTAACACTGCAGCTGGAATGCAAATGGAGCATCTGATGAACTCTTACTGCTGCTAATAAACATCTGTTTTACAAGCGCTGGTCAAAACTGAGGAATGCTGTAATAATGAGTACTAAGCAAACACATCTCAGACTGATGTGTTTATCTGAAAATCTGCTATAATTTAATCACTCTCATGTTGTTCTAGTTTAAACTGCACTTGGGCTAATTACTGGATAGCTTTGTTTGATTTTATACATGTATGCACTATATACAGTGTATGTGGCATGGCACAAGTAATCAAAGGAGTAAACACTTAAATGACTATGCCACATGGTTACCCCTGAAAAAAAAATAAAAAATTAAATAGACAATTAGATTCAGAGGCAAAGCAGGGTGAGGATGGAGATGTAAACTCAGAAATAGGGCACTTGAAATGTTCATTCATTCCCTTTATCATTAGTCCCTTTATTAATCCAGAGTCGCCACCGTGGAATGAACCGCCAACTTATTCAGCACGTTTCATGCAGCAGATGCCCTTCTAGCCGCAAACCCATCACCAGGAAACATCCATGACCATGGTATAAGTAGTATAATCAATAGGTTGCCGTGCGTTAATGGATTTCAATGCACGACGTGGAGGCGAAAGACTACAGGACGAGCTAGCGGTTCGGTATACATTTCCGATATACATAATACTAGTATACTGATCAGACATACTGTGTTTAAAAAAAAATATATTTTTCTTTTTTGTGAGAAGCTTATTCCCACATCATTTGGCTCCATTCACATTTTTGTTGTTTGTCTGGAGAGAACTCTCTCTCTCACATTCTACACATTCTTTGCACATTACATAAACCAAGGTCTGAATGACCAGCACTAAAAAAAAGGGGGAAATAAAATGATCTATGTTTGTTTCATTTTGTAAAGGCTGCATCCATATAATGTTTAATACTGTTTTGAAATATTTATTATCATTTCAGGTAGAAGCCTTGTATATTACACAGTAATTTTTAGACTTGTCTCCTTCAAGAAACCATAATTTCCTACCCTAACTAAAGTATTAATTAAAATATATGTAAATGACACATATAAGGCCTGTGTTTTCTTTATAAATATTTAGAAAGTTTACATATTCTATTCTAAACACGTATTCTAATATCATATTTAAATCATATAAATAAATAAATAATGAGGTTATTATTAAGAAATTAAA